TGATTTTGAACGGACATTATCATTATGTGAACGGACATTATGTTGAACGGACGTTAAAATGAACGCTGATCGCAGGAGTTCAAAACCATTAAAAATCCGAATTTGTAAATCAATTTTTCAATACAACAAGTAAGAAATTTATCAGTTATTTAGAATATATATATTCGCATGTATCCACACTCTATTTACATTACACGTTCAACGTGATATCATTATCAGTGCAGTGTGTACAACACCAACTACACCGATCAATTGCCAATCTGCGAAACTTTTAATTATTATTATCACTTCGAGATGGTCAGTAGCTCAATTGGTAGAGCAAGATACGCGAAATGTCGAGGTTCTGGGATCATTCCCCAGTTGTCCCTAGTTTTTCAGAGTTAATCATCACCTATAGACAGCATGAGAGTAGGCCTGGCCATCTCGAAGTGATAATAATAATTAAATGTTTCGCAGATTGGCAATTGATCGGTGTAGTTGGTGTTGTACACACTGCACTGATAATGATATCACGTTGAACGTGTAATGTAAATAGAGTGTGGATACATGCGAATATATATATACATATCACCGGAGACTCGCGGGCGGAACAAAATATTGCACGCGCACGCGCGTGCAATATTTCATATGTCCCCGAGGGCGCTAGCCCGAGGAGGACATATTTTCGTATAGCACGGAGGGCCCATCGGGCCCGAGTGCTATACGATTTTTCCGCCCGCGGGTCGAGGTGATGTGGATTATATCCACCAGCGGGCTTATTACAGTTAATATATAATTTTATAAATAAACAATGGAGCTTAGTATAAAAGTCAACTCTAGAAAAGGTCACCACTAATTGTTGTAACCATGGTAACACGTCACGTGTTCAATGTAAGCCAATCATAAAGGGCTGTGTCGTATATAGGGGCTGGAGATGCACTGCATTCCTGGGCCGTGGGAATAATGAATGTAATGTCAGTGACGATGAATATCAATAATATAGGGGGATTATAGTGCTGATGTGTATTATGTAGTGTGTTATAATAACTTTGATATAAATCAAAGTATCATGTCATCTGCTCACGAGCTGCATGAGCAGCCCTACCGGACACAAAAATAAAATGTATATATATAGTCAGTGTAATAAGGAATTTCACATGGAGACGATACAGAAACTGAAAATATTTTAGAGAACTCCGGGCTATATTGCTACTGGTCAAATTAAATGTCACTTGTTAGCGGGCTATATCATGAGCGGGCTGTAGAGATATCGGGCCCTTTGACAGCGGGCTGGTGAGAGCCCGCTATGCGAAAAAGCGCACGCTGGTGGATATATATACATATCACCGGAGACTCGCGGGCGGAACAAAATATTGCACGCGCACGCGCGTGCAATATTTCATATGTCCCCGAGGGCGCTAGCCCGAGGAGGACATATTTTCGTATAGCACGGAGGGCCCATCGGGCCCGAGTGCTATACGATTTTTCCGCCCGCGGGTCGAGGTGATGTGGATTATATCCACCAGCGGGCGTATTACAGTTAATATATAATTTTATAAATAAACAATGGAGCTTGTATAAAAGTCAACTCTAGAAAAGGTCGCCACTAATTGTTGTAACCATGGTAACACGTCACGTGTTCAATGTAAGCCAATCATAAAGGGCTGTGTCGTATATAGGGGCTGGAGATGCACTGCATTCCTGGGCCGTGGGAATAATGAATGTAATGTCAGTGACGATGAATATCAATAATATAGGGGGATTATAGTGCTGATGTGTATTATGTAGTGTGTTATAATAACTTTGATATAAATCAAAGTATCATGTCATCTGCTCACGAGCTGCATGAGCAGCCCTACCGGACACAAAAATAAAATGTATTATATAGTCAGTGTAATAAGGAATTTCACATGGAGACGATACAGAAACTGAAAATATTTTAGAGAACTCCGGGCTATATTGCTACTGGTCAAATTAAATGTCACTTGTTAGCGGGCTATATCATGAGCGGGCTGTAGAGATATCGGGCCCTTTGACAGCGGGCTGGTGAGAGCCCGCTATGCGAAAAAGCGCACGCTGGTGGATATATAATATATCCACCAGCGTGCGCTTTTTCGCATAGCGGGCTCTCACCAGCCCGCTGTCAAAGGGCCCGATATCTCTACAGCCCGCTCATGATATAGCCCGCTAACAAGTGACATTTAATTTGACCGGTAGCAATATAGCCCGGAGTTCTCTAAAATATTTTCAGTTTCTGTATCGTCTCCATGTGAAATTCCTTATTACACTGACTATATATACATTTTATTTTTGTGTCCGGTAGGGCTGCTCATGCAGCTCGTGAGCAGATGACATGATACTTTGATTTATATCAAAGTTATTATAACACACTACATAATACACATCAGCACTATAATCCCCCTATATTATTGACATTCATCGTCACTGACATTACATTCATGATTATTCCCACGGCCCAGGAATGCAGTGCATCTCCAGCCCCTATATACGACACAGCCCTTTATGATTGGCTTACATTGAACAAGTGACGTGTTACCATGGTTACAACAATTAGTGGCGACCTTTTCTAGAGTTGACTTTTATACAAACTCCATTGTTTATTTATAAAATTATATATTAACTGTAATACGCCCGCTGGTGGATATAATCCACATCACCTCGACCCGCGGGCGGAAAAATCGTATAGCACTCGGGCCCGATGGGCCCTCCGTGCTATACGAAAATATGTCCTCCTCGGGCTAGCGCCCTCGGGGACATATGAAATATTGCACGCGCGTGCGCGTGCAATATTTTGTTCCGCCCGCGAGTCTCCGGTGATATGTATATATATATTCTAAATAACTGATAAATGATATTCCACACAAAGCATGAAATTGTGCTGTATATGAGTGGTGATTTCGCTCTGGGAATCAGGGTCAGTAGCTCAATTGGTAGAGCAAGATACGCGAAATGTCGAGGTTCTGGGATCATTCCCCATTTGAATCAGGGTCAGTAGCTCAATTGGTATATACCACGTTACCTACTCAGTTTCCTCTTTTTGCTCATTGACATGATTCAGTGACTTCCCCCGCCCTCTATATCTTTAACATGATACCTCCCAGGACCTTAGTATTCCATACCAGACATTTCTTTAACTCCTCGTTACAGCAAGACTAATACAACACGGAGAAGAAAAGAAATAGAGACAAGAATACGACAGCCATGGACTCCTACAAAAGACTAACAGAAGGAACATCCCGGTTTGATCCTTCTGAACTATGCATCTTATATCGGTATAGTATTGGTATCTATTTATTACCTATTGTTATTTTTTATCTTTGCTAGTTAATCAGGTTTTTGGGTACCGGGCCATCCTGGTTACCCTGCTATGGGCCGTTCCCCTGGCTTATGCAGGTCTAGTTTACCCATATATAGCTCAATTGGTAGAGCAAGATACGCGAAATGTCGAGGTTCTGGGATCATTCCCCAGTTGTCCCTAGTTTTTCAGAGTTAATCATCACCTATAGACAGCATGAGAGTAGGCCTGGCCATCTCGAAGTGAAAGTAAGAAATTGAAAAGCAGTCGTTGATGTTAGGCATTAAAAATGTTAAATGCTGTGCAGATGAGGTATGAAGGTACGTCGGCCACATCCTTCGGAAGATATCCCGGTTTTCGAATTCTAAATCATCGAGATGGCTGGTATGGTAGAAGATATCGTCGTTGACATGAACCACCGAAGGTAGCCTTTGCCAAGTTGAGGCTAGAGATAAAGCTCAAGTTGTACTTCAGGCATTCTAGTATCGAGAGAGTAGTATAGAGCAGTTGATATCGTTCATTACCCGCTACAACTACGAGTTGGATAAACAACCAGTTATAAGAGATCTAGAAGATGTGGAAGTAGATTAATTGTAACTCCAAGGAAACGAACGAGGAACCGCGTACATCAAGAAAGTGCAAAAGTGCCATAGCATGATATTTAGAATATTTAAATTTTATAATAACTTCTTTTTCATCGATCCAATGATAGAATGATACATAGTCTAGTCCGATGATACTGATAGAAATTGAAATTATCTGAAATTAAAAAGTTGTCATATACTGGACAATAAGTTCTCAGTGGAATAATTTTTGAAAAAATTCAACGGACTTTAATTTGAACGGACCTTAAACGGACGAACATTATTTGAACGGACATTAAGATGAACGCTAGGCCTAGATCCTCCAGCGTTTAATTAATATCCGTTCAAATAAGGTCCGATAAGGTAATTACGGTGACCTCAATGCTCTCTGGAATGTTATATGTAGTATTATTATCGGTCGTTAATTTAAATGCTGCATTCGCTAGCATCATTTCGTAGATCATCAGAGAATGCATTTACATCACTGCTTATAATATGATAACATGAGTTATATCCCTCGGTCAAACCTCGGAATATAACTTGTTTTATCCAACTCGTCATACTCGTTGGATAAAAATATTTTCACAACTCAAAGTTGTGAAAATAATGTTCTCACATTATAAGCAGTGATGTAACTGCTTATTATTTTATTTTATGATGCACTCTGAAGTACTTATACGACACACATAGTTTACATTAGAGAATATGTTTGTTGGAATACAAAACTTTGTTTGCTAAATAATACAACTTTATTGAGATACGAGGACAACACAATAAAAGAGTAAAAAAGTATTTTTTAACATTTTTATTTAAATATCTGACTGAATATCTAAGAAGATTGCCAGATATTCAAGTCAAAACGTTCCAAGCATGCTTTTTCAGTAGATGTGTTCTAGTCCGGTCAGTTATGGCAATTTACCTGCATTTCATAGTAGAGGGCTGAAATTTTTTTTGGAGAGCCCTAAAACACTTATTTTTAGCTTTATATTAGCTTCAGTTTTTTTTTTCGCAAAAAATAAGTGTTTTAGAGCTTTAAGAACCTTGCCAATCGACTCGTCGTACAAAAAAACATAGATTTAGACCCCTAACATGTTAGGAATGACATTATATATATTTCTCTCAAATTTTGCCTGGACATTTTGGTACCAAAAATGGGCGTGGCCAAATTGGCGATTTTCCCAGTCTGAATTTTAGGGCTCCGAAGTTTTTTCGGTTTTAAAGACCTTTGAGAGCCCCCAAAAATTTTTTCAGCCCTCTACTATGATGCAGGTTTTGACCTGATTTTTACCATAACTGACCATAATAAACAACATATTTGTTGAGTATGAAGCCCCGGCTGATAAGAAGAACGCAGTAAGCGTCTGCAGGAAACAGCTGGTGTTGAACATTATCTTACAACTCGCGGTCTACCGTCTTCAAACCCGCTTCTCGACTGATAAGAGAGTTGCACTTTTATAATTGAAACATAATAATTTTGTGTATAATTACATATGTTAACCCTAATTAGTGGTGATTTTTGCTAATACTAATTGTTAATTGTATCCAATAACCCTAATTGAGTGTGTTTACTCCTCATTAACATCTTACTATATTTAAAGCGAGACGATATATATGGATATATGGATGGATCCGTACCATTTTACTGACACCACGGCATCAACTTTAACGCGACTTTCTGCAAAAACCGTAAAAGATGTACAACTAAAACTTTTTTGACTGGGTGTTATCTATCAATAGCTGGCGCTATCTAGCGCCAAAAATAATTGGTTACCTTCATCATCGCTTGAGATAGCCATCCAGGAAATTTCACCCGAGGAACTGTCCTTGAGGTCGATTCCTTTTCGCAGAGTGAACTTTTTGGATGCGGTCTCGTATGTGATACCTCCACAGTCTAGTAGGAGAAGGTGGCATTTAAGGTGAATTGATATTTTACCAGTGATTTTGCATATCTTTTGTGTATTGAATTTCAAGATAACCGATTAATTTTCTAATTTATCATCAAATTAACTGCAAGTTTGAACTGACCGGATCGTTTGAGACATTCGCTCTGAGCCTTCAGAAGACTGTCATATTTGGCTGTTCCTGCGCTGTAGCCGCTCAGATATTTACCAGCGTTCTTGCTCCAAGTCACTGGAAGAAAATATTTCTATTACCTCAGGTATTATATAGGCAGTTTTTGGGAGTTCCAAATAATTTCTGATTATTCTGATTTCTTGCGACAAATGATACTGCACTGTTAGGATAAACGACGTTTCAAAGTAACAACTTCGTATTCATGCTCAGCTGGATCCTTCCTGTTTTGTTTTTTCTGAGCTTCCCGCTCGATCTCCTTCTTCAATCATCATCATCAGTTAGAGTTGTCGCGCTCTCGAAATTTCACTCCACCGCGGCACCTAAAGGGTGAGCTCAATCTAGCCTTTCAGTCATTTGAAACTGTAAGTTCCTCTAATAGGACCCGAATCGAGGCACTTGAAGTAAACCATGAGAGTCTGACACAGGCCCTCGCCAGTTCACCACAGCCTCCGGCGAACCACAAGCCCGCCCGGCGTGACACACCGGCCTCTGTCGATGATACGAACATGGAAAGCGAACAGGGTATCCTGTGGTCCAAGATCGTTGAGAATGGAGGCTCCGAGACGTTCACTACATCGAACAAGAAGAACAGCAAAAACCACAAAGAGAATGTACCTGTACCAGCAACCAGACAGGACAACCGCAGTGAGTCAAAACATTCAGAGACCACCGCATCCGAGGCACAACCTAATCAACCGAGTCGTGAAGCCAAGGAGAGTAGAAACAAATCTTCCGGGCGAATAAGGGAAAGTTACAGACAGCACACTGTTCTTCTGATCCACGATAGTAACTTTGATCACTTCAACCCTAAACTGTTCAATAGTCAATTCAATGTACACTGCCTCAAGTTTGACAGCTATGAGGATACGACTAAAAAAACAAAGCTATTGAACAGCACCATCAAACGACTCAAGCCCGAATGCATATATGTTCACACGGGGATAAATGACCTTCTCAAAAAGAAATCTGGTATCGTGAGTATCGTTGAGGAGTTCTCCGAGCACCTGATGAACACAACCAAAGCCCAAATATGCTTCTCAGGACTGATTCCATCGAGCAACGATAAAGCCCTCAATGAGAGAATCAGCATCGTCAACAAAGATGTTGAAGACTATGTGAGCTGGCTCCACAAACACAAGCCGGTTGCAAAAGATAGGATCTTTACCTTCCAAAATGACAGCATCGGTGACCAAAACTTTTACACAAGTAACGAAGGGTTCAAGCTGAGAGAACGAGGTCAAAAAATGCTGTGGGTGCGCCTCCGTGAAGGAATGAGGAAAACAATGCGCTTACCTCGAGTAAGCTATCAACCAAAGGACAGATCCAGACGCAGCACGAACAGGTTTAGAGATGAATAGCCCCCCTAAGATGAGACACTCACTCAAACTCATGAGCTGGAACATCAACCACCAGCGTGACAAATTTGAGGGTGTCAAATTCGAAATTGACGAGGTCCAGAAGCTCATAGCTGGCCACGATATCGTCTGCCTACAAGAAACTAAAGGACAGGTTTCTATGCGGGAATTCAAATGCTTCAACGCCAACAGATCGGATAGCAACTCAGGTGGCGTGTGCACAGCGATCCGGAAGCACTTGGCTGCAGGAGTAGTCAGAGTTCATTTTTCCAAATGCGACGACATACTCATCGTAAAGCTTAAAGCCAAATACTTCAACCTTGACAAAGATCTGAATCTTATAAATGTGTACGACTCGCCAGCTCATGGCTCATACAAGAAACGAATGCGTTCCAAAATGGAACAATATACAACCACTTGTGAGCACTTAGAAGAGTGTCTATCAAATATCCTCGACTCCGAAGATGCTGCCATACTTGGTGACATGAACGCGAGGACCGGCACATTGAACGACTTCCTTATACCATGCGAGTCTAGGGACCTTCAAGTTGAACTCGATCCTCCCCAGCATTCTATATCTCCTACTGAGGTAGCCTCTAGAAACAACCAAGATCGGATTCTCAACTCCAACGGCAAACCCTTCATTGAGCTACTCCAGACAACTGGAATGATAATCCTAAACGGAAGGACAATTGGGGACATATTTGGCAGTCCAACTTGCATTCAAAGAAATGGAGTAAGTACGGTCGACTACATTTGCGTGTCCCACAGCCTCCTTCATCGGGCAAGGTTCTTCAAAGTTGGTGACCTCACCCCTTATTCTGACCACAGACCAATATCCACCACTTTAACCACTAACATAAGGAACATTGTGATGGCTGGCGACATCTCGAACGAAATGGAGCTCAAATTCGCATCGATCCCGAAGCCATTCAAGTGGACCAAAGATGCCTGCTCTGGACTTGGTACCACAGAAAAATTCAAGTCAGCCCAGAACACCGCTCAATTCAAAGAAAAAGTTGATTCTCTTCTTCAAACTGATATTTCCTCCCCTGACGACATTCGCAGTTTTAATGAAATTGTGATTGCCACCTTTACTAACCTGGCAAGTCAAGTTACCACCCAGAAAAGTGGAAAGCCCAGTACTAACAAAAACAAATGGTTTGATTGGAGTTGTAGGCATGCTAAACGATTAGTCTGTAGAGACGAAAGAGCCAAGAATAACACCCACATCGATCCTATGCTCGTGGAATCCAACCGAGCAAGATTTTACCTCCGTAAGAAAGAATACAGGGCACAAACACGAGCTAGAAAGGGAGCTTACCTATACAAACTTAACGAGAAAATCAACCTCAGCAACAACATCAACTGGGCTGCTTTAAAAGACCTCTCGTCCGCTTGCAAGGACCCCGATACATTCGACATATATGACCTGATCGCATTTCACAAGTTCTTCAACGACCTATACAATCAGAAGTGCAAGGACCCCTCGCACGGTGGACTACAAACGAACACTTCGACCAACGAAGCTGGTGAACAGGGAACCGAGTACCACCTCTAGCCATCAGTCGAACTTGAAAAACTCAACACAGAGTTTACTATCCAAGAACTGGAGAAAGTCACCAATAAGCTCCAGAATAACAAAAGCGTTTCATGTGATCTTATCTCCAACGAGATGCTCAAGAGCTCCAAACTCGGTCTCCAAAAAGTCCTTCTGAAACTATTCAATGGTTGCCTAACGCAAGGAATCTACCCCTGGAACTGCTCAATAACTACCCCCCTACACAAAAAGGGGGACAAGCAGAACCCCGATAACTATAGAGAAATCACAGTCGGAAGTTGCCTTGGAAAACTCTTTGCATCCCTCCTCCTTGATAGGCTGATCGAATTCCGTAAAGTCGTCTGTCCCGACTTCCCTCACCAACTCGGATTCAGAGCTGGTGCCCAGTGCTCTGACCATATCCTGACCCTTACAACGATCATCGAGAAGTATACAAAGAAGCTGAAGAAGAAAATATTCGCTTGCTTCGTGGACTATCGTAAGGCGTTCGACACAGTCTGCAGGGAGGCTCTCATGTACAAACTCAGTAGACTTGGTATCGGAGGAAGCTTCTTCTCTTGCCTCCAGAACATGTACAGCAACTCAGTTACCCGTATCAAACTGAGCAAGAAGCTGTCGGACACCATCGATGTCACCATTGGTACCGAACAGGGGCATCCAATATCGCCGGAGCTCTTCAAGGTATACATTCATGACCTCTCCATTAGACTAGCAGCTCTTGAGGACTTGTCAATTCCAGAACTGAACGGCTTCTCGGTCAGCCATCTTCTGTGGGCAGACGACCTGATACTTTTGGCACTCGACGCCAAAAGCCTGCAGAAACAACTTGATTGCCTGCACGAATTTGCAAGTAAATGGGAACTGTCAATTAACATCGACAAAACCAAAATCATGGTATTCAACTCGAGCTCTCGTTTGCTGAAGTGCTCCTACGGGTTCAAACTAGGGAACCTGGACATCTCATCGGCCAAATCTTACTGCTATCTAGGCATTCAATTCAGTCTCAACGGTTCATTTAAAGGTGCCATGAACGAACTGAGGAAAAAAGCACTAAGAGCATTTTTCTCGATCAGACGCATGGTCGACACTCGAGCATTAACAACAAAAACCATGCTCAAGCTTATAGACAGCCTCGTTAAACCAGTCGTTACGTATGCCTGTCAGATATGGCTACCGTGTACAAAAATGGCTTGCGCTGATGGTTCAAGACAGAACCTTGCTAGAGCTGCAACAAAGGACGCACTTGAGACAACACACCTGAAAATGCTGAAATGGGTGCTCGGCTTACACAAGAAAGCTAACAACAACTTCTGTTACGGAGATACGGGCAGGTTACCATGGGCCCTGTCGGTACTACCACAATGCCTGAGATACTTCGACAGATTGTCTCAGACATCACCCGACGTGAGCAGCGTCAACTTTCTTGTACATCAGACATTCCAAGAGCAGAAGAATCTAAACCTCTCTTGGTATAAGACCTGGAACTCGATCGCTCAGTCTGAATCCAAAGCGGCCAAACTCGCTCGATCCGACTAACGCAGAGCAGAAGGAACGACCTCAACTGCACATGGAAATTTGGTTGATCACTTTGTAAAAGATTGGAGAACAGATTTAGCATCCCAAAAGAAAATGCAATTTTACTGCACTATCAGACAGGTATTCGGAGAGGAGCAGTATCTCAATCTAAAGAATAGTCAATGTCGCATGCACATAGCAAAAATCCGCTCCAGTAGCCATGACCTCCTTATTGAGAGAGGGAGATACACAAAAGAAACTGGAACGTGGACGAGAGCCTGCAGATTCTGCTGCAACAAGGATAACGTTCAAGGCTTAGAATATCTCCCCTTTTTCGAAGGAACAATCATTGAAAATGAAGAACACTGCCTCACTGAATGTCCAATGTACCACTCAGCGAGACTCTCACTGTCGGAAAACCTTAAGAGTCTTTTGCTGCTCAAGGAATACGGAGCTATCATGAATTCTGCCCATGTGCAAGAACTGGGCAAATTCCTTTGCAACTGTCACCGCATCAGGAACCCGAAAAAGACGCCAATACTGCCTGTCACCCCATCAGGACTACCAACTCAACAGACATAATACAGATCAACCATCATTATGCAGATTTCACGATCTGTTGTACG